AGGGTACTGGCATGGACGATGGCTCTGGGTAGCTCTGGTTCTGGTTCTGACTCATCATCCTGTAACCTTGGTTCTTCAGGGCCTCAAGCTAGCTGGGAGAATCTGGAATTCATGACCATCTCTGACGCTAACGCTTCCTCATGGGTGTCGGTGGCAGCCTGTCACTGCCCCACCCTGAGCCCTGTGTCCCTCCCTCATCCCCATACAGCTAAGCTCCTGGTACCTCCCTCAAAGCAGGTGCTTCGTCCCTATTCCCCGTTCATCTGGTTTCAGGTCTTAAATTAGTTCCTTCACGGAAGTCCAGGTGCATGGGTTGAGGGCTGCATCTGGGGAGGTCAGTGTGTTTATTGGCTTTGTGCTGCTATAACAGAATACTGGACAATGGGTAAATTTAAAGGGATAAGACATATTTCTTACAGATCTGAAGGTTGGGAAGTCCAAGGTCCATCCAGAGGCCAGCATCTGGTGAGGGTCTTCTTCTTGTACCATCCATAGCAGAAAGTGGGAGGTGAGAGAGAAGGGAGGGAAGGGGGGAGGGAGACAGACAAGGAGGGAAAGAGACACACAGAGACACACAGAGACAGAAAGAGACACACAGAGAGACAAATGGAGGGATAGAGGAGAGGACAGAGAGGACAAGAGGGGGCAGAATGAATCTTTCCTGCTGGGTGTGGTGGCACATGCTTCAATCCTAGTACTGGGGAGGCAGAGACAGGCGAATCTGTGAGTTCAGGCCAGCATGGTCTACCTGGTGAGTTCTAGGCCAGCTGGGGCCACAGGAGATCCTGTCTCAAAAAGCCAGAAAAAAAAAAGAAGAAAGAAAAGAAAAGAAAAGAAAGAAAGAAAGAAAGAAAGAAAGAAAGAGAAAGAAAGAAAAGAAAAGAAAAGAAAAGAAAAGAAAAGTGCTGGAGCTAGAGCGATGGCTCAGCTATTGAGAGGACTGGTTGCTCTTGCAGAGAACCCAGGTTCAGTTCCTAGCATTCACATGATAGCTAACAACTGTCTGTAACTCCAGTTCCAGGGGATCTGACACCTTCTGGCCTCCTTGGCCACTGCATACATGAGGTACACTTATATAAATGCAGGCAAAACACTCATACACATAAAATAAAAATTAACCCATCTTTTAATAAAGATAAAGAAATCCACTTCCATATCCCTGTAATCCCAGCACACAGGAGGCTGAGGCAGGAAAATTGTGAGTTCCAGGCCAGCCTGGGCTACATAGCAAATCTCTGTCTCAAAAACAATAAAAAAGCCCTAAATAAACCAATACGTGTTCTAACAGCACTAATTGGACACAGCAGGTTATCAGAAAAAAAAAAAAAGAAGACACAAAGTTGGGAGAGGAACTTGGTGGTAGGGGAGGCTGGGAGGAGTTAGATGGGGTGAGGAGAGGAGTGGTGGATATGATTAAAATAACTTGCACACATGTATGACATTATAAAAAAATTAAAAAATATTTTTAAAAATTTAACTTGGGCTAGTGAGATGGCTCAGTGGGTAAAAGCACTGGCCACCAACCCAGATGACCTGAATTTGATCCCTGGGACCCATATGGTGGAAGAGGAGAACTGACTCCCTCGAGTTGTCCTCTGACCTCCACATGCATACTGTGGGACACATGAGCACACGCACAAACATGTGCACAAAATAAATAATAAACAAACCCAAACCCCCCACCCACAAAAAATACCATAAAAGAAACCAACTCCCAAAATAATAAACTCACTCCTACCACAATGATATAACTCTATCAATGAGGGCACATCCCACACACCAGCACTGTTGTGTTGGGGACTAAGGTTCCAACACATGAACTTAGGGGGCTGCATTCAAACCACAGTAGGCAGCTGCTCCATCCATGTGCAGCATGGAAGGGCCAGGAGGGCCAAATACTGCATTGTTTTGTAATCAACACACTGGGCAAGGCATTAGGGCCTTTGTTTTCTCACCTGGGACTAAGGTTCACATAGTTTGATTCCTTAAGTCAATCTGCTGCCTCTTAACCCAGAACAACTTTCTTTTCTTTCATACAAGAAAGATCAAAGAGGTTACATTAGCTTTCTCCTTCCTATGACAAAAACCTGACATAAACAATTAAAGGAAATTTTATTTTTATTTAGTGTGTGTCATTTCAGTACAGATGTCAGAGGAGGGCCAGGGTGCCCTGCTCCATCGCTCTTCATTTTATTCCCTTGATACAGGGTCTCTCACTGAACATAGAGCTTGGTGTTTTGACTAAAATGGCTGACCTGACCATCAAGGCCCTCAGTGATCCTTCAGTCTCCACCCTTGACAGTACTGGGATTACAGGAAAATTGCCTGACAGTTTACATGGGTGTTGGGAATCTGAACTCAGATCCTCATGCTTTGGCAGCAAACACTCTTTCCTACTGAACCAGCCCAGGACGGACTTATTGTAGCAGAGTTTCAGATGTGTCAGTCCATCAGGTGGGGAGGCCAGAGCAGCTTACCTCACGGTACCAGGAAGCAGAGTAGAGATTGCCTGCACTCACTAGCATTCAAGTCCCCAGTCTAAGGGATGGTACCACACGCATTCAGGACAAGCCTTCCCCTTAGTTAATACTCTCTAAAAATACACTCACAGCACACCCAGAGATACTCATCTCCCAGGTGTCTCATAATCCAGTCGACACTCAAGATTATAACCATCAGAAGTTAAGTGATTTGGCTAAACCCACTCAGCATTGATTCTGAATCTTTTCATATTAAGACAGACTCCTTTCACCTTTATGTAACCCCACCCTTACTTTTGAGATTATTATAATACACAAAGAATGTTTTTAAATTTTATTTTTATTTACGTGTATGTGTGCATGTTTATGTATGTGTATACCAAGTATGTGCAGGTACCCTCAGAGGCCAGAAGAGGGCATTAGATTCCCTGGAGCTGGAGTTACGGGCAGTTATGAGCTGCCTAATGTGGGTGCTGGGAACTGAACTTGGGTCCACTGGAAGAGCAGCAAGTGCTCTTAAGCCATCTTTGTAGCCCCAGATAATTTTTATACTCAAGAAACAACATAACAGAACAAAGTATATGTCTAATTAAGGTTTATATATAAAGGAACAGTGTGGCTTATGATTGAGAGTCTGATTGCCTGGGTTTAACTCCTAATTCTGCCCCTTGCTGACGGTGTGAGCTCAAATCATTCAATCTCTCTGTGCCTGCTTTTCTTGTCTGTGAAATGGGAGATAACAACTATGAGGATTAAATATTTGTTAAGACTTTTAAAAAATATTTATTATTTTTATGTGTATGCATGTATTGCCTGCATGTAGGTAAGTGCACCTGTGTCATGCAATGCCGTGGAGGGCAGAAGAGGCTGTCGGATCCTCTGGAACTGGAGTTATAGATAGTTGTTAGCTGCCATTCAGGTGCTGGGATTCAAATCCGGGTCTTCTGCAAGAACAATCAGTGTTCTCAACTGCCGAGCCATCTCTTCAGCCCATTGTTAAAACTCTTTTAAAAATATGTGTGTGTGTGCATGCACACTCATTTGCCACAGTATGCATGTGGAGATCAGAGGACAATTTGCAGTTTGCTCTCTCCCATCTTGTGGATCCTAGGGATTGAGCCCAGGTTATCAGCCTTGGCAGCAAGTTCTTTTACATACTGAGCCTTCTTGCCAGCCCTGTAAAGACTCTTTCAGTAATGTCTAATAGCTAGTAAGGTTCAAATGATGGCTTAATTAAAATAATAGGATGGGGAGACAATTCGCTTAGTAAAGCACCTGTATAAGCGAGAGGACAGAGATTTGACCCCCAGAACTTCCGTAAAAAGCCAGGCACGGTGGTATGTGCTTGTAATCCCAGTGCTCGAGAAGGTGGAGACAGGATTCTGGGACTTAATGGCCAGTTAGCTCAGCCCCAGGTCCCAGTGAGAGACTCTGTCTCATAAAACAGACACAGAGAACAGACTCCTAAAATTGACCTCTGCACGTGCACGTGTGCGCGCGTGTACACACACACACACCCTACCCTACCCTACAATCAGCCTTGGTCCTTGAGTCAGCAGAAAGCACTTTGGATCTGGATCATGGCATACCTGTTCTATTTTGGGACCAGACAATAATTTCCTCTGTGACTTCAGAAACTCCTTTTAACCTTTTTATGCTTTGTTTTCCTCAACTGCAAAATAATGGGCTTGGGCAATTTCAACGACAAACAGCATTTTTTTTTTTTTTCTTTTGGATCAAAGAAAGATCAAGTGAAGGAAGAAAAAAAGCTTTTGGGCCTTATTTTCTTATCCAACAGAGTTCAGCATAGGGAATATCTCTGGGTGGGGTGCTGCCTGGCTGCTGAGGGCCCTCTGCAATGGTCTGGGTGATATACTGTCCTTGCTTAGGGGACACCTGACCCAGTCATACCTGTCTCCCAGGAAGTGGAGACACATGGATGTAAGACTGAAGTGCATTCCTGGTTGGAAGAGCCTGCTACTGCTGGCCACAGGATTCTGGTTGCTGCCTTCTGTTGGTGCGGCTACATTTTTTAAGGAACTCATTTCCTTCAAATAACTCATACCAATGTATCAGGAATATATTGCTGCAAATGAAGCCACCCTGAAATTTAGAGGCCTAGGACAATTTGCAGTTTCTCTAGGTGCTATAGGTTGGGTGGTTCTGGTGTGGCATGGTGGCTGCATCTGCCTATTTCAGGGAGGAGTTGCTAGTGGTGGGGGCGGGATCTTGATTCTCCTCTATGGGGCCTTTTTACATGACTCCCTCAGATGTGCACAAGGCCCAAGCCATTTATTACCAGAATCCCTCACTCAAGGCATTTATTCCTGTATTCTGTTGGTCAGGGTGAATGAATTAGAAGGTCAACCCTCAAGTTGTTTTGTCAAGTATTTGGGCATGGTGGTGAGAGAGATAATACAACCTTTTTGATCCTCTTTCTTATATGAAAGGCTAGGTGCTCTAGGTTGGGGCGGCAGGCATCCTTCTGAGCACCTACTGTATGCCAGGCACTGTGGGAGGGGGTAGTTCAGGGCACTGCCGAAGGCTGAGTTCTCACTCTGGATTCTGATGCCACTTTTCTTCCTGAGCCTCTCTGTCCTCATCTGTAAAATGGGGGGTGAGCGATGGCTCTCACCCCACAGGGTGGAGATGACTGTAAAGATAAGTGACAGATGGTCAGCACTCAGTACCAGGTCTGGCCCCCAACAAGCACATAGCCAGTGGCAGTTGGTACTAATGGACATTTGAATTCTGACCACCCACTTCCTGGAGTAGCTATTTGGACCAGCCATTGTCCTAAGAGATTTCAGGTTCAGGAAGGCTGCCTACCCCAGCTGGGCTCAACTCTCAACAAACCTACAATCTGCAGGCGTGGCTCTGAGGGCCCCACAGGTCTGTGTACCCCACTCAGTCTCACTCTTACTTGTTAAAATCACACGAAGCTCAGAAACTTCATTAGACACACCTGGATTTGTGGGAGGCAGGAAGTGGAGGCTGAAGCCTCAGTCTTCCCAGCTTTTCACTATAGAGACAAAAGGTCATCACCCCAAGAGATGGTGGTACAAAAGGCCCAACAGAGAGATGGGGGCAGTGAAAGTCACTCTGTGATGTGGGGGTGCCATGGTCTATTTGTGTCCCACAAGTTCATGTTGGAATCCTTTTGCTGAAGGTGGTGAGATTTTGAGGGTGATCAGGTCATGGAGTGAGGTCCTCCCAAAAGGGATCAATGCTCTTATACAAGAGCCTGAGGGAGCTTGTCTGTGTTTCTACCACAGGATGCGGAGAAGGGGCCACCTCTAAAACTGGATCTACGGGTGCTTTCATCTTGGCTTTGCCGCCTCTAGAACAGTCAGAAATCCACTTTGGCCACTGGGTCTAGGCTATTTTGTAACAGGAACCTGACAGGTTAACACTGGGGACAAGCAGGTTCTTTCAGCCCCAACCTCAGGAAGGAGAGAAATGTCTACTTCCTTTATGAGACCCAGAACCCAGGCTCTGGGGCTGAGTACAGAGAAATGAAACCTATGAGCAGGCCCATCAGCCTACTGCTGATGGAGGTACTGAGGGAGGATGACAAGGGAGAACAGCAGCTCTCTGGTCTGGCTCCAAGTCCAAAAAGCTGTTACCTGAGCCAGGGAGCTATGCCAGGTGCTGGAGACCAGAAGGATGGTGGGTGGTGCCTAAGGGCCAAGAGGAACTAGGCAGGTAGATCTAGGGTCAGGGACTGGGAAAGTGTTCATGATCCTACTTAACCTATAAAGATGTGTCGTTCTCTGTCCCATTCGAAAGCTGCAAATATGAAATACGGAGGTGAACATTTTCTCACCAACCACCCCTGGGTGCAGCTCACATGTACAGTTGAGCCTTCACACCATTTCAGGGGCCTGATCTTAACACATGTCAGACCAGCCCATATCCTCACTCCAAAGGCAGGTTGGGGTCCTTCTGGATTCAATAGCACCTACACTGCCAGCCCAGGGCACCAGAGATGAGGATTCGCACAGTTCCCTTTAGCTGTCTGTGACCTCCCCTGTGTAGAAAGGCAAGACATCACTCAGTCAATCCTGCCACTTAAAGCTGTGCTGGTCCCACTGTGCAGAGAGAGAGGCCTCCTGGGAAGAGGCAGGAAGGGGTGCCATTTCCAGTAGGGTTTTCCTGAAACAGGATAAGGGGGCAGACAGGAGGTTTAGCAGCCTTCCAAGAAACACCCAGCCCCTCCTGGATCATCATATTCTGACCAGGTATGTAAACACTATTGCTCAGGGCCACACCCAGCCACTCAGGGCCATACTGAGCCAGCTCCATGGGGCGGCCTTCGTGTTGTGCTGGCCCCACTTGAGCTCGACCCCAGGTCCTAAAGGAGCTTACACTCCCATAGCACTCTTCTCATCCTCTTTGGGGCTGGGGTCCTCCTGTGTCTTCTTCATCTCCCAACCCCTGACCCACGTGTAGGCTGAGGAGCCACCCAGCACCATCAGGTTGCTCGCCCACCACAGGAAGCTCTTGGTCTCTTCATAATACAGCACAGCCAGCACCGTCTGTGCACAGGCCTTGGCTGTGCCCGACACGTTGTGGGTTAGGGGACTGGTGAATTTGATCTGCAGTCCCGTCACATAGCCGATGGCAAAGCCAAACAGGCCGCCAAGCGTCATCATGACCCAGAAGTGGGCGCTGTCCAGCTGGGCAAAGTTGAGGAGGGCTTGGAGCTCACCCAGCATCAGCATCAGAGGCAGGAAGAGCATGCAGGCATTGACATTGTTATAGAAGGTCAGGCGCCATATGCTGCCATCCACTGCGGGGAGCACTTTCTTAGTGTAGATGGCGTTGAGCGAGACACAGAGGCTGGCCAGCACCCCGAAGATGGTTCCTGTCAGGGACAGGGTGCCCTCCGCTCCTTCTTGGTCCACACCCAGCCAGAACCCACCTGTAGTGGGACAGAAGGATGACAAGGACAAGAGGGATGAGGACAGGGAGGGAGAGGGGCAAAATTCTCACCATCTAGCCTTCCTCATCAACATACTCAAGATCCAAGGTCTCACCCCAGCACAAAACAAGAGGGGTGGTTCCAAAAAAAGCCACTCCTCAGCCAGAATTCCAGCAGAGGGGAAAGGCAAAGGACAGAGTATGACCCTATTACCTCTTTTTTTTTTTTTTGGTCTTTTTGAGACAGGGTCTCCTGTAGCTCCAGCTGGCCTCAAACTCACAGAAATCCGCCTGCCTCTGCCTCCCAAATGCTAGAATTAAAGGTGTGCACCACCAGCTACCCTATTACCTCTTTAATAACAAGTGTAATCATTGAAATGAGGGTCATAAAACTGTGGTTCAGGTGACCTTGAGCAAGGGACAGGTGCTCTAGTCTCGGCTTCCTCTTCATCAGTGCGAACCTTAGGTTGGAACTGCTCCTGGCCTGATGTCACTTAGACAGTCACTCTATTCACTTTTGGGGCACCTTCTGCTCAAAGAGTATGTGTGGCTCCCCAGCCTGGCACACTGAGCTTCCTGGGTTCAGCTGGCCAGCCCTTCCTTGGCTCTGTGATGGCCCAAGCCACCTTTTCAGCTCCCAGCTTCTCACTGCGAGCTCAGTGCTTACACCAGAAACACTTTCTTCTTTTTAAGGATTCTATTCATTCTTCAGGGTCAAGGCCAGACTCTCCTGGGAGCCTTTCCTTATACATCCTGTTCTCCAGCCTCTTTCCAGACTCTTGCTGCCTGTCCTTCCCCCTAAAGCTCCTGGCCTGCCCATGGCTTCGAGGTGCTTTCTCCTGGTGACATTCTGTTCTATCTAGATCCCACATTCCCAGAAGACAGGGGCTGATCTCTGCCACAGGGATCAATATGAAACAGGGGGACTGGCTCTGGCATCAGAGAGATTTGGCTCTGTGATTTTGAAGCTGAGTGGCCTGGGAAAAGAAAAGTTACTTAACCTCTCTGAGCTCCAGGTTCCTTCATCTGTAAAAATCTGGGCCACGTTCTTGATCCACCCTAACCTTGCAACTCGAATGATCTTACAGAACAGATCCACTCTGGCTGTCCATTGCCTTCAGGAAAGACTCCACTTCAAGTGTGTGCTCTCCTGGCCTGCACCATGTGCTCAGTGTCACACTGGCAAGAATTCCAGCAAGTCCTGCTTGGATTGCCCCCCTCTCTCCCTTCTCCCTAAGAATCCTCACAGCCCTTCTGAATTCCCATCACAACCCTTACCAGTCTAGGCTAAGTATCATTACTGCCATTAACATCACCATATGCTCTAGGAGTGAGGACCTCACCTTCTTTTACTCAAACTTGTACCCTAAAACCTGGCACAGGCCTGGCAAATGCTTACCAACCAGTTGATAACGTTGAATGGCTGGCTGGCTGGCTGAATAGATGGGTGGATGAATGAAGACTGCCTATGGAGAAGCTTGCAATTATTAAAGGAAATATGCCAGGTGAGGTGGCTTCTATAGTCCCAGCTGCCTGAGAGGTTGATGCAGGGCCAGCCTGGGCAACACAGCAAGAGATCATCTCAAAACAAAAAGACCAGGCCCCGGAAGCATTGTAGGCACCTGACACAGTCTCTCGCCACTGACAGAATCCTTCCCAGGAGGTGGCACAGACCCACTGTGGGTTTCACCTGATTAGGCAGAACACCAGGCCCTCCTGCTTCTACCATCTGAGCCCAGAAAGGACCCCATCATCAAGGTTCCAGACCCCAGAGGGGCTATCAACCTGAGAGGCTTTGCAAAGTGCTATGTGCCTGCGAGGGACTCCAAGTTTGGCAAATTCCCTGAGAGGCAGACAGGAGAAAGGGCCACTGAGAACTAACAAAGATGGTAGACTTCTCCTGAGACAAAGGCAGTTCCCTACTGGGGAACTCCTCCTGCCATCAGGACCTGTGTTCTAGCTGACTGGTCCAGATCAGTTTAGATTAAGTCCAAGGCCAAACTCAGACATATCCTCAAAGCGGTGAACCTATTGGCCCTCTCTTCTTTGTTTAAGTTTACCAATCCAAAATAAGGGGTGGGGGACTTGCCCTATACCACTAAAAACACTTAAAAGACCCAGGCCCCCCAGGGGCTTTTGGGTTTTGGTTTTTGAATCCCCTCTCCATTTGCAGAGTCTTTTTCTCTTTTCTTTCAATAAAGTTTATTGCCTTCTATGTCTGAGATTCTTCCTACCTTTGAATTCTGTAACTGGTAGAGAAAAATGAACCCAATCAAGACCCCTAGACAATAACATCTGGGAGGCTTGGAGTAGTTGACAGAGACACCCCGCCCTGCAGCTCCAGGAGGGAGAGGGCCAGACAAGAGCCCCATCTCCTGCTGCCACCCAGACAGACCACCATGGTTAGTGAACGCACAGTTCTCAGCTGTCCGGCCATCAGCTACTTGGGTTACTTTGGGGACCTGGGCTCAGATTCCCTTTCTGTATGTAAATCCCTCCCACCAGGAGGCGTACCCACTCCACACCTGGCAGGGCCAGTGGACTGAAGTGGGTCCCAGGACACCTGGGAGGACAGAGAGGAAGTGAGTGGTACCAGTTCCCCTAGGGTATGGGGAGGGGCTAGGAGTTCCCCAGGGAAGGGTCCTGACAGCACCTATAGCTTTCTACTTGGCTTTTCTCTCCCCTCCCCTCTTAGGCTCAGACCCAGCAGCCCTGGATCTACAGCTGTGGATCTGGCAGCTGCTCATCCAGGGGAAACATTTTCTAGGACAAATGGCATGGAGAGGCCTGGTCCCTCACATCCAGAGCACCCAGCCTGGGCCCCTGAGACTCTAGGGAAGAATATGTAGGCCAAACAAGACAAACTTTACGGTAGTAATGAGAACCTGAGCAGGTAAAAATAAAGGTCTATGGAAACAAGACTCTGTGACCCAGCAGGCTGCCCAATTCAACACTCTCAATGGTACACATATTCTGTGACCTGTGCAGTCCAAGCCAAGAGTCCTAGCTACGCATGGCTGCTGAGAACTGGAAAGATGGTCACAGAATCAGGTCTGAATACCAGTAGCCAAGGAACAGGAAGCTTAAAATTTTGAGTTTAATTTTAAAATGCATGTAGCCTGTGGCTTTCTACTGTGTTAATTTCCAATGGGCAGCAATGGGGCTGAGTGGCTCAAAGCACAGGCCTGGGAGTTTGGCCAATCTGGGGTCGAATTCCAGCCTAGCTACTTCCTAGTTGTGGGTTCCTGGCAAGAAGCATAACCTCTCTGAGACTCACTTTCTTTATTTGTATGGAAATGATCCCAGAGATGCCACCACACAGAGGACTACTGGGCAGACAAAGATCAGCACAATGTCCCTATTAGTAACTATTTTCTTTTTTAAAAAAAATTATTTTGTGCCAGGCGTGGTGGTGCACACCTTTAATCCCAGCACTTGGGAGGCAGAGGCAGGCAGATCTCTGTGAATTCAAGGCCAGCCTGGTCTACATAGTGAGTTCCAGGACAGCTGGGGCTTCAGGGAGACCCTGTCTCAAAAGACCAAAAAAAAAAAAAATTTGTTATTTTTATTTTATGTGTATGAGTGTATTCCCTGAATGTGTGTAAGTGCACCTATGTTGTGCAATGCCCATGAAGGTCAGAAGACAGCATCAAATTCCCCTGGAACTGGAATTAAGGATAGTTGTTAGCCACCATGTGGGTGCTGGGAATTGAACCTGGGTTCTCTACAAAAGCAGCCAGAGCTCTTAACCACTGAACTAGCTCTCCAGTCCTAGTAATTATTTTCTGGGTGTCAAGTTTGGGAAGACAGTTGGGGCTTCTTAAAACATACATACATACATATGTGGGTATGTGCGTATGATCTCAGACCAGTGAGATGGCTTGGGGCTTGGTGGGTAAAGACACTTGCCACCAATTCTGATGACCCAAGTTTGATCCCCAATACCCACATGGTAGGAGAGAACCAACTCCCACAAGTTGTTCTCTGCGCTCCACACCTGCACTGTGGTGCCCGTGTGCATGTGTGTGAACAAGAACATATACACATAATAGAAATGTAATAAAAAAGTTAAAACACAGGTCCAGCCAGCCACTGTCTCAGGTGTTATCCCAAGCCATCAAGGTCAAAGGGTGACAGTGCATTTATTAAAAAGATGCACTGTCCTCTTGAAAGAGACCTGGATAGAATTAGGACCCTTGAGCTCTTCAGAAACAACATGGCACAGTGCTCATGAGTGTGACCTATGGAGGCTGACTGCTTATGTTCAAATTCTAGCTCTGTCAGTGATTAGCTGAGTGATCTTGGACAAGTCACTTAGCCTCTCTGGTTTTCCCCTGTAAACTGTTGATTGTAATTCCACCTTGTTATAAGGATTAGTTGAATTAATATAGGTGGAGTGCTTAGCTCTGAGTGCCTGGCACAGTTTAAGCATTCAAGCAGTGTCAGCTGGTTTTGTTGTAGCCCTTGCTATCATTATTATTTTCACACTGGCTGGGTTCCTAACCTGCTGGGGACTACAAGGAAGTATTTGTTGTCTCTGGGGCCTGGACTCTTCCTCTGACTGAGGCAAGAGACCAGGGACAGGGACAGATAAAGTGCAAAAATGTCTGAACGGTTGATCTTTAGAATTTCCACCCCCTATCCACCCTGCTCCCCAGGGTCCACTCACCGATGATGATCCCGCAGGTGAGCAGGGCATAGAAGGAAGTGGTTTGCTTGAGCAGCAGGTAGGAGAGTAGCAAGTTGAACACAGTGGTGAGCGAGCGGCCCACGTTGTAGAAGGCCACGCCCACGTACTTGAGGCAGAGGTTATTGAAGGTTATCATGCCGATGAAGACCACCGACAGCGGCAGCACACTGCGGGCCACCCTGAGGTCCAGGTGCAGGGTGGGGAAGTCCACCGTGCCAGGGCAGCAGGTGGCCAGTGTGCTGAGGCCCTTACACAGCAGAGAGGTCACTAGGCACTGGTAGAAGGTGACGAAGATGGGGGTGTCCAGCTGCAGGGAGGGGCTGTCCAGCAGGTACTTGTTGAGGAACACCATGGAGATGGAGGTGACCCAGTAGAGAGAGACCACCAATGCTATCTGCAGCGCCCGCAGCAGAAACGGCTTGTCTCGGCTGTCTATTTCTGCCTCCCCAGAGGCACCCAAGGTTCCGGTCAGTGCCATTCTCAGGATCCTGGACCGCTTCAGAGGTGCCCTGTTCATGGTGGCAGAAGACTGGGTCATCCCACGGCCAGAATGCATGCCCTGGAGTACAGGGCCCTAAGCCGTGGGTGTGCAGCCCTCAATTGTCATATGGGGGAGACCTAACAACGGTCTCTTCCGTTTTGGATGAAGTTCTGTTTTGGGGGCTCATGAGACAAGACCAAGAGAAGGAAAAAGGCCTGGCCAAGACAGCTATGGCCTGCTTGGGGACAGGGGGCTGGGGACTAATAGGAATGGCAAGGAGATAGGAAGAAAGAGAGACAGAAAGGCAGGGTGGAGGAAGAGGAAAAAGGGGATGGTGAGAGCAGAAGCAAACGGAAGTGCATGGGGACCGAACGGAGGGCGGGATGCCGGATGATGGAAAGCCGGGTGCAGGAGATCATAGATGCTCAGGACTGGGGTCCCAGGACACTGGCGGGGGCCGGGTAGGCGCGAGGCCTATGGGGGCTACCAGTCCCGGCGCCGGCTCTGGAGCAGCCGGAGGAGTAGCCGGACGTTCCAGGCTGCCTCCAGGGCGGGGCAGGCGCCGCGCTCATTTCCTGACACGCCCCTCGGTCCCTCCTTAAAGGGCCCGATCTCCCGGCGTGTCGCCCTTGAAGTCACAGCCAGAAGAGCCGGCGATTGCCTTCCCGGCTCGCGTCTGCGCGTTGGCACCTGTACCCACTGTTCTGCCCTCTTCGTTTAGGGAACCCTCGGCAGCCGGGGAAGGTTCTCTGGGTGATGGAGCCTCGCCCATTTCCATCACCGGGTGCTCCCGAGGCCTCTCCCCTCCGACTGGACTCCCTTAGGTGCATTTTCATTTTCTCCCAGAATACGGAGTACCACCTCTCGACTTCCAGGGACCTACATAGCAGCCCCGCAGCCCTCCATTGACCCAGTCCACTCTGGAAGACCTTGTTAGGTCCTCTCCTCTCCCCCATTCCAATTTTCACCGCCTCCAAACCCTCTCCGGAGCCGGGAATCCCAGCCGAGGCCGGAGACCACATCAACCCCTCCAGTCTGAAGTCCCTTCTAGCTGCCCAGACCCGAGCCTCTGCAGCATCTCGTTCCAGTGGTCCCTTCCCCTTCCAGAACATACCGTCGATGCTCTGGAACTGTGCTCCTGGCTGGTGCAAGCGACCCGGCTCTCACCTCTGCCGCACACTGGCACCGCGCAAAGCACCTGCAGCGCCGCGCCCCGAGCCGCGCCCCCGGGCCCACCTTCTGCTCCCCGGGCCTCAGCGCGGGCACCACGCCAGGCTTCGAGCGCGGTGCAGCGATTATCCCGCCAGCCCTTTGAGAAGGCCCCTTCCTCTTTCCAAAACCATCCCCGCCTCGCGCGCTGCGCCCTAATTGGCCTGGGGCTCCTGGATTCGATTACCGTCTCAGGAGGGTCTCTGGTCTAGGGGACATCCATGGCCCATCCGGCTCTGACCGGTGCTTCCAGAAGAGTGGCGGGGAGGGGAGGCACGCCGGATTCGGCCGGTACCAGAGGAGGGTACCCCTCCCCCTCCCCCTCCCAGGTACTAGGCCTGAGTGGGCCACCAGTTCGGAATCATTTACCCACTGGAGAGTTGGGCAGAGTGACTTCTCTCTGGTTTCCTCCTAGCCTCAGTGTTGGGCAGGCAAGTTCCCCCTGGCCCAGTTGGCTTCATTGTATAGCCCAGACTGGGTTCAAGCAGAGTGAGTTCAAGGCCAACCAGAGCAAATGAGAAGCGCGCGCGCGCACACACAGACAGACAGACAGACAGACACACACTGTTGTAGATGTAGCTCAGTGTTAGAGTGGTTGTCTGGCAATGTAGGTTCAAGCTTCAGTACATTAAAAGAAAAAAAAAAGATTAGTACTATTAGTCAAAAGATAAAATTACAACACATTTCGCTATAAATCTAATGTTTTTTAAAATTTATTTTTATTTTATGTGTATGAGTGTTACTTGCATATATGTACACATGTGTGCCTAATGCCCCTGAGAATTCTCTGGAACTGGAGTTACAGACTGTTGCAAACTACCATGTGAGTGCTAGGAACCAAACACAGGTCCTCTGGAAGAGCAGTAGGTGTTCTTAACCCGTGATCCATCTCTCCAGCCCGAAGGTTTTTATGGTCAACCCAACTCTATAATATGAGTGTTACTGGTTGTGGGCTGGACATCCCAAAGAGAAAAGTGTTGATATTCTGAGAGGAACCTTTTGGAGTGCCTCAGGAGTAGCTGTGTACATGAGGAGAGGACAGGATGCTCACTCGCCAGTATTTTAGGAGTAGCTGTGTATGTGATTTGTGGATTATGAAACTACTTAATCTGCAACTAAGTAAAGATATCAGGGAAAGTTTGTGTAGGAATACCCTTTTTTCTTATCCACAGAATTCTATCCTTCAAGCAGAGACTTTTTCACCACATTGTCAGGCTTTCAGATGAAGAAGGAAAACTAGAGATAAAGATAGAGATAAAACATGGGTCACAGGTTTTTACTGTTACGCATATCTGGGTCACAAGGAAGTTGAACTCAAGGTATATAGTTCATTAGCTATTTTAACATTCTCATTTGTAGTGTATCTCAGAAAGAGGAGTTCACTTTCTTCTTTTAATTATTATTTATTATTTTTATTTTATGTGTATGAGTATATTGCCTGCATGTGGGTAGGTACACCTGTGTCATGCAATGCCTGAGAAGGTCAGAAGAAGGTGTTGGAATCCCTGGTACTGGGGTTACAGACAGTTGTTAGCTGCCATGTAGGTGCTGAGAATTGAACCCCGGTCCTCTATAAGAGCAACCAGTGCTCTTAACTGCTGAACCATCTCTCTAGCCTCAGGAGTTCAGTTTTTTACAGGTGGCCTGGATAATGATGTTGAAATTCCTGGATGTCAGCCAGAGAGAGGCAAAAACCAGAAGAGCTGGGGGACCCTTTCCCTTCTCATGTCCCCTCCATTTCCTCAGTAGCTGTCTTTCCTCAGTATCTCACACCCAGGCAATAGTGTAACAATGGGAACTTGAACAATAGAAAAAATTGGTTAACATCAACTTGCCTTTTGGTGAAGATTATTCAGACTCAGGCAGGCTGGCATTTGCTTTCAAGAAAAAATATTTGGTTTTGAGATTATACCTGTTTGCTTCCTTAAAGTTTCAATTTGTTTATGTGACATTTAGTGTAACTGACTGTAATTGAACCCAAACAGGTTCACCCTTGGTCGACTCCAAAGTCAATGAGTACAATCAGGAAATAAAAGTGTCAAGATGCCAGGTGGGTGGTGAATGATATAATCTCAGTATTAGGGAGGGTTAGGCAGGAGGGTGGTTCATTTGAAGCCAACCTGGGCTACATAGTGAGTTGCAGGCCAGCCTGGAATACATAGTGAGAACTTGTCCCCAAAACAAAATGACAGGGCTGGAAAGATGGCTCACGCTTTGAAAGCGTGAGGACCTGAGTTTGAATCCCTATCACCCACACATAAAAACAAATGGGCACTGCTGTGAGTGCCTATAACCATAGCATTAGTTGTGGGGGCACATGAGGGGGGTGCAGGCAGGTGGCTCCTGAGAGCTCCTGGCCAGCCAGCCTTGCTGAAATGGTGAACTTTCTGCTTCATCGAGACTCTGTCTCAAGACAGTAAGATGGGGAGCTTTAGCAGAAGACACCCGCCATCCAGCTCTGACTTCTGCATACATGTGAACAGATACACACTTGTGTTTACACACACACACACACACACACACTCCAAACAGAAGAAACAAAAAGACTGAAGGAAGCTTGATTGCTTAAGGATCTGGTACTTTAAGCAGGCCCTCTGAGCAAAAGCAGCTAGGTGGCTTTATTGAGGACACTTTTTTATGCTGCAAAGACTTGACATATCACATGTCTAAGGAGCCATATGCCAACAAATGTACAGTTCTAGATCATGTTTCTTCATACATGTTCAGTGGTAGTAGAGAAGACTGGGGGAGGGTCAGCATTACAGAGAGATTATAATAAGCTAAATTTACTTAGGTCACTTAGAAGAGAGACTGATTTGGGCTGGTCTGAATCAGTTCCTTGTTACCACTGGAAGACTTTATATGAAACAAAAAGACAACTTGAAGGCCATGGAATCCAGGTTGTGCTTTGCTCTGCGTTACATCATATAGAACTGGATTTCAGGCTGGGCTATGCTTGCTCTGAGTGACTCCATTTTATAAAATAGCAGTTTCCTCCATTTTGAGTGCAAATGCTGAGAAGAATGACTTTACATCTTTTTTTGTGTGTAAATAACCACCGAGCAACTAAAAAGATAAGCAGCCACTAACTGTCTTCCATGAACTGTGAGGCCCCAATAGATACCTCGTGTATTTATCAAGGTAAATCAGAACCACATGTACATATCAAAAACCTGTCTCTCAAACACCAGGCCTATGAACTTGTTGAACATACCAAACCAACCAGCTGCATGCAACGCCTTGCCTGGGTCACACAAAAGGACACCTAATAAATAGGTGTCACCCACTGACCTGTCATTTGACCATCCACTTCAAGCATCTCGGGATCATCAGGGGATGAACTCTTGACTATCCCTGGAGCTTCAGCTCAGCATGGTCCCTACTACTTGATGCAGCCCGCACCCCCCCAATTGCCACAAGTCTGGACCCAGTGCTATGCTTTGGATCAGCCTTGAACCAGCTTATAGTTGGGTAGAAGATATGGAAGTTCAGGGGTTGGATTGATGGCTCAGCAGTTATGAGCACTGGCTGCTCTTACGGAAGACCCAGGTTTGATTCCCAGCATCCACATGGGGGCTAACAACTGTCCGTAACTCCAGTTACAAGGGAATTCAATGCCCTCTTCTGACTTCCACAGGCACTGCATGGCATGAGTACACTTACACAGATGCAGGCAATACACTCATACACATAAAAATAATAAATTTTTTTGAGACAGGGTCTCCCTGTAGCCCCAGCTGTCCTAGAACTCACTATGTAGACCAGGCTGGCCTTTAACTCACAGAGATCCACCTGCCTCTCCCTCCCAAGTGCTGGGATTAAAGGCGTTCACCACCATGCCCAGCAATAATAAAATATTTTAAAAAGATATGGAAATTCATTATATGAATCTCCGACAAAATAATAAACAAGGTAAACTTTAGATAATAATTATCCAATATAACAATACAAGGATCAGGCACAGGTCGGTCATGAGGCATTTGCTCAGCATGCACCCCCAGCCAGGGTTATATAGTCTCTCTCTCTCTCTCTCTCTCTCTCTCTCTCTCTCCACACACACACACACACACACACACACACACACACAAATTCCTAGGGCTGGGGAGATGGCTTAGTTGGTAAAGAGCTTGCTATGCAAACAGGAAGACCTGAGTTTGAGCCCCAGCACCCATGTAAAAAGCCATGCATTAGAGCATGTACCAGTAATCCCAATATAGGGAGGTAGAGACAAGAGGATCCCTGAAGCTTGTTCATCAGACATTCTAGCTGAATCAATGACCTCCAGGTTCAGGGAGAGATCCTGTCTCAAAAAACAAGATGGATCTCTAAAGTCACCCATTTCCAAA